TATGATGTCTGAGGCCTCGACAAATTTGTAGGAGAGGGGGACGGGGGTGTGTGTATGTGGAGGAAACCTCATCCATAATCTCATTCCACCTCATTATGTCCATTTTCCAGATGGGAAACTAAGGCTCAGAGAGGGTTAGTCATTTGCCCAAGGTCACACAGCTAATTTGTAGTAAAATCTGAAATTCCAACCCAGGTTTGTCTGACTCCAAACCATGCATCTCCACTATTCCACACAGATCCCTCCCAACCCAGGAGGCTGGAGGGGCTTTGCAGGGGGAGTGGGTAGGCTTTCACGGGGGGTGGGTAGGCTTTGGGAACAGAGAGACAGCATGACCGATGGGAACAGGCATCTCTGGGACAGTTGTCAGCGTCAACCAGGGTCTAAGAAAGACCCTGGCTCCCCCGTGGGCCTTGTCAAGGTCTTTCCTCCTGCCCAGCGAGGTGCCCCTGAGTCCCGGGCTCCCGGGGTGATGGGGCTGACGGAGAGGCAGGCTGCAGGCAACCCCCACTCGGGGCTTTGATGGGGTCTGGCAGAGCCTGGTGGGAAGACGGCTTTTCCCTCCAGGGAGAATCCTGAGAGGCTGAGCCAACACCCGGGGTGGGGTCTGTGGTCAGCGGGGCCACAGAGAGGCCCGGGGGTGGCGGGGCAGGAAGGTGACGATTTCCCCTCATCTGCTGCTCTTGTCCGCCACCTGCTCCAGGCTGGTCCGAGGATGGAGCCGGAAAGACTGGGGCTGAGGAAGCCCAGTCCCCTGAGGGGCAGGGGGCCCGGGAGCGGTCCCGGCCGGAGGAGGAGATGGCCGGGGCCCCTCGGGGCCTCTTCCCGCCGGGGAAGAGCAGGGCGCCGGAGCCGGAGGACGAGCGGCTCTCCAAGGAGTGGGAGGACGCCAAGCGATGGAGCAAAATGGACCAGCTGGCCCAGGAGCTGACGGCAGAGAAGCGGCTGGAGGGGGAGGACGAGGACGACCCCGACCGCTCCATGAAGCTCTCCTTCCGCGCCCGGGGCTATGGCTTTGGGGCCCCCGGGCCGCAGCTGCGTCGTGGCTGGAGGCCGTCCTCCCAGGAGGACCCCGAGGGGGGCCTGCCCCCCCAGGCGCGCAGCTACCCAGAGGAGAAGAAGGAGGAGGAGGGCAGCGCCAACCCCAGCCCAGACAGGAGCCCGGAGCCACCGCAGGGCCTGGGTTCGAGGCAGGCGGGACGGGGCGGGAGGAAGGGTGTACCAGGCAGGAAGGTGAGGGAGCCCGCTCACAGGGGCACCCATCGAAGCTGGCAGACAGGAGGCGGGAGGTGCTGAGGGCGGCGCCCGGAGCAGAGAGGGGGAAGGTGCTGAGCGCCATGCCCTGAACAGCGGGGGGCCTCTGCGGGGGTGGGGTCAGGGCGATGGGAGCTGGAGCTTTGGGTGGAGAGAGCTGGGAAACTAAAGGACCCGCAGGCACTGGCCTGAGGAGGGCCATTCGCTGCCCAGGGGACCCAAGCCAGGGCACCCTTGGGCCTAGAGCTGGGAGGGCATGAGGACGGGACACTGAGGGACAGGGGGTATCCTGGGAAGCCCTGTGGGGATCCAGCCGGGTCCTCTCCCGGACCCCAGGCAGCCCACGCACACCCTCTGCTCCCAGGTCCAGGCAGAGGGGGTGGGGCAGGGCCAAGTGGACCTCCTGCTGGGGGTGAGGGGGTGCAGGTGGGTGCTGCCTCCTCCTGGCCGTGTGACCTTGGGCAGGTCACTCTCTTCTGAACCTCATCGGTACCCCTGGGGGGCAAGGGCTCCTTCCTGCTCACCTCATTGTCGCGGCCAGAATCTGTGTGAGCTTTGAAACCCTGGCCGAGCCCAGGGCTACTTGAGAAGCTCAATGGGGAGCAGAGCTGCAGCCCCACAGGAGTGGGGGTGGGAGCTGGGGTCCCTGGCAGGGCTGGCGACAGCCTTGGAGCTGGAGGAAGCACTGGGCCCTAAGAAGACCACCCTCCCAAGTCAAGGCCAGGGGGTGGCCTTCCCTGACTCCAGCTCTGAGTTCGAGGGCACAGTCTCATGGGCATCAGGACCGGCTTTGGGGCCCTGAAGCTTCCCGAGGTTGGGCACCCGGCCGGGCTACACAGAGTGTGCCCTTGAACCACCCTGTCGAGGCCCCTGATTGGGACCAAGGATTGAGGCCGAGCCTAGGCAGGTGGATCGGCAGTTCTCACAGCCTCCATGTCCTGGGCCCCTGGACATGGTAGGAGGCCTGGAGCAGACAGGAACCAGGCCTGGGCTCACCCAGGAGCCATCCTCAGAGCCGAGGCCGGAGTGGGGGGCTGGGAGGAATCTGAGCCGGAGGCTTCGTCTTCCGAGCACCCACCTGTAGCTTCAGCAGGCAGCAGGCTGGGCGGAGCGGTCCCCATTTCTCCTCTGCAGCCCAGGGATCCCTCTGCCTGTGAAGAGGGAGCTGGCAGGCGCCTCGGGGCCCCTCACTCATTTCAGCTTCACACTTTGGGGGGAAAGGGGTGAGGGCCCCCTCCCCCACATTCGTGCACAATGCTCCTCAGAGCAGCCTGGTACAGTGGCATCGCAGTCCCCATGGTACACAGAGGCCTCCGAGGCTCCGAGGCAAAGCCACATGTGCAAGGCCACCGGGCTCGCCACCCCACCGTCTGCTGGCGGCACGCTCCAGCATGCCGGCCCGGGCCAGGCCCTGCATAACCCTCGGCGTTCTCCCCCAGGACCAGGAGCTGGAGAGCCTGTCAGCCATCGAGGCGGAGCTGGAGAAGGTGGCCCAGCAGCTGCAGGCGCTGCGGCGGGGATGAGGCGCCGGCGGGCCCCTCCAGCCAGGGCCCCGAGGCCCCTGTGGTCCTGGCTCTGCTGTCCCTCTGCAGGTCCTGGCCGGTGACCTGTGTGCTGCTTCCGGTAGGGAGGCAGCCCAGCCCGCCCGCGCCCAGGCCACCCTTCCCCCACCCCTTCTCCTGCTCCGACCACCCGGCACCCTTCTGCAGGGCAGACCCCCACGACTTCAAACGATGAGCCTTTCTCTGAACACAGGAAGCTTTCTAGAAGTTTTCCTTCTACATCAGAGCCATTGGGCACAACTGCAATAACCTCTGACCTCCCGGGGAACGTTGAGCACTCCTGACTGTAATATACCCTGCACACAACTTAAGAAGGAAAATAAATCTGCTCTGGGCTCTCCTGGCTCTTTGAACCTTCCCCCTCGTGACTCCGAGTGGGCGGGATGGGCGGGATTCTGGCAAAGGGACAGGGAGGTCTGTTCCGCTGGGGCGACTCCTTTCTGGGCAGCTTCTTAGCCGTGGGACCTTGGGCAGAGGACTGCCTCCTGGGTATCAGTTGTCTCGTCTTCTGTATAATGGAGTGCTGGCATCACTCAAAGTGTGTGGGGGCTTAAATCACACATGCAAAGGGGCCGGGCTCCTTCCTCTCCCCGACTTCCCAGCCACACCTGAGCTGGGCCCCCAAAGGCAGGGTCAGTCGGGGAGACAGCCTCGGCTCTCCGTGGTGCTGTGGGGAGCGCCTGCCACCGGCCACAGGCGCCCTCGGCCTGAGCGCCATCCCTGACCCACATGGGCACAGGCATCTGGGCGTCTGAAGTTCTTGCACATTTAACGGTTCACGAGGGCTCAGTCTCAGCTTTGAGAATGAGGAGACTGAGGCTCACAGGGTGAAAGGACTCCTCCAGGTCACGGGCAGGGGTGACGCCCACAACATTTCACCGCGGGGTGCAGGGTCACACATAAGGATGGATCGGGCGGGTGCGCGGGAGCGGTGCGGGCCCGCTGAGTGTCAGGGCTGTGCGGCGCTCGGCAGACATCTGAAGCGGCTGCTGTGGGCCTGGCAGCCCTGAGCTCGCAGTGGACGGACAAGCCCTGACCTCAAGGAGCCTCTGCCCAGCGATGGGGTTGGACGGCAGACTGGAGTTGGAACCCCAGCCCAGCAAGGCAGCTCCGGCGAGCGTCCCCGGCGCTCTCCGAGCCTCGGTTTCCTCGTCCACCAAGCGGGGTTAACAGGTCCCGGTGGGGATTCGAGAGGCCCAGGCGGACTGGGTCAGAAGCCAGGGTGACGCCAACACACGTCACTGGCGGGGCCGGGCAAGTCTGGGCCTCTCATGCAGAGGGCGAGGGTTTCCGCTAGTCAGTCAAGTATCAAACATCCACTCCCGAGACTTGGTAGCAAATGAGGGAACACCTCGCCCCGGAAGTGACCCATCCCAAAGAGGGGCCTCCTGCGCTGTCATAACCCCAGTCCCACGGGCAAACCTGCAGAGCCGTGGACAAGGTGCTGGTGGCTCGCACAGAAGCCGTGCTTCTGTATGTGATAGACATGTCCATATGAGCGTCAGGTGCACGGATGTGCACAGAGTCGGTGAAAGCCAGCTTGGGGTTCTGGGAAACGCTGCTTGGGAACAGGGTTGGAGCACGTGGCATTTGTCACAAAGCACGGGTGTCAGCACCAAAACCAGAACTTTTGAGAGAAGCTGCAGAGGGTCTGCCCCCCTCCCAGCCCTGGGAGAAGGGGTCTGGGCCCCCCTTAGTCCTGGGAGAAGGGGTCTGGGCCCCCCTGGGAGAAGGGGTCCGCCCCCTCCACAGCCCGGGGAGAAGGGGTCCGGCTGCCAGGTCAGGGACAACAGGAAGAAAGGGAGAGGTGACCACTCTGGAAAAGGCCCCTCGTGGTCAGGACGAGGCCCGGGTGGTGCTGTCCGTCAGTGCCCTCTGAACAGCCTGTTGAGGGGTGTCCCTACCTCTAAAGGCCACATCACCTCGGGCTCGGGTTGGGCAGGTGTAAGTGGGACCAGGGCGTGGCCAGGCTGCCGGACGAGGGAAGCCAGAACTTTTGTCAAGAACCGATGCACTTCTCTGCCTTGGGGTGAGCCATGGTGGGGAGCCCGCTACCAGCTCAAGGTCTCTGCGCCCAGGGCCCTTGGGCCGTGACCGAGAAGGGAGCGGGGCTGCCAGGACCTCACCAGGTGAAGGACCTGTTTCTAGGGGGCGGAGAGCAGATGCCAACCCCAGTACAGCCACTCAGTGGCGCTCATGGCCAGCGGCCAGGGTGAGGGCGTCTTCCAGGCGAGGACGGAGAACAGCCGCTTTTCCCAGCTGGCGGAAAGCCACAGCCTCCTGCCGGGTCCCTCTGTCCCCCAAGCCCAGCCTCTGGTACAGAGGACAGCTCTCCCAAGGTTCCCTCTGTGAATGCAGGGACGCCAGCTGGGCCTGCCTTCTGCAGGTGACGCTGCTGGCTCCGGGCTCAGCCCCACCCACAGGTGCTGCCAGCCTGGACACCTGCCTGCTGTGATGGCGAGGACCCCCCTCTTGGGGACTCCTCTGGGCTCCTGGGGGGACAGACACCCGGTGCCTGCCTCAGATGGGGCACATCACTACACAATCAACATCCCCAAAAAACGCCCAGGGCACAGCCCTCCCACATGACCCTCTGACCTACCCAAGGCCTCAGCCAAAAGGTGGCCCTGTCAGTTGCCACCTGATGCTGCAGGGCCACAGCCCCATGTGGTAGAGGCCAGTGACAAGGAGGCCCGAGGGGAAACCTGCCCTACAGATGGTGTCAGTGTGCACCCCGCTGACATGGGGGGGGGGCGCTCCTCACTCCCCAGTCCCTCCCCTCCACTGCGCTCCCTGCCATGGCTCCTGAAATCCCTCCAGAGACGGCTGCTGCTGGCCCACGGTGGTGATCAGCCCAGGGAGAGGACTGCACATGTGTGGGTGCAACTGGGCCCCTTCCCACCCCATGGCTGCTCCCTGCCTTTAGGAAGCCAAACCACCCCCTAAGTTCCCACTCCTGGAAAAAGCAGTGACCGTGCTCGCCACCCGCAGGAGGCGAGTGGAAAACGCCAAGTCACCAGAAAGCAGTTACTTGACACCTGGGACACTGGGACATCAATCACACAGGAACGGGAGCCGGTCAGGGTCCTGGCCTGGCATCAGGGGTCACAGCGCAGACCCCACCTGCTCTGGAGGCAAAGTGGATTAGACTTTTATTCAAAAAGGTAAAGCCATTTTATTAAGACTCGGGGGATGACAAACTTCTGGCACATTATGTACACGCATGCACAGTGCAGTTTGCTTTCAGTAGTTTATTCTGGAGACCAAGCAGTGCAGGAGGCGGCCACGCACCCCGCTTCCCGGGCTCAGGCAGCCAGGAGTGACGCGGACATGGTAATTGGGGGTCCACTCAGTCGTGTAAACGCCGTCAGTCAGCAGGCCCGTGTCCAGGACAGCGGGCAATTCTGAAGGTGGCCACCCACCCCGGGCCGAGGTGGGCAGCCCCCGCTCCCCGCTGAGCCTGAGCCGGGTGCCCAGTTCAGCGGCCTCGGGCCATCTCCTCGGCCTCGCGGGACGGCCAGGCCTTTTCCTCCTCAAACCCAACTGGTACCTAAGACCAAGGGCACGCTCCGCAGGTCCTGGCATCTTTCCCGGAGCTCACTGTCCTGGGACAGAAACCACCCTCCTCTGAGGAGGGGCTGCCAGCCGTGGACCTTGGGATGCAATGCGACAACCAGCTGGCGGCCTGTGCTGCCACCAGGGCTGGGTGGCTATTTGGGGAGGGAATTGTTTTCTCACCTCTGGGCTTCTGCTCCCTCTCCCTCCCCGCTGGCTGGCTCAGTGGTTGGGGCTGCAGTGAGTACAGGAGGGAGACGGGGTCTGCGGGGTAAGGGTGGGGCGGGTGGCTCCTCCTGCCTGGGAAGGGGACCCCACATCGCCTCGATGCCAAGGGGGGGTCCATCCAGGTCCACTTCTCGGGAAAGCAGGTGCATCGCAGGGCCTGGGGCGTCAAGCCCGCCCTTCAGAGTTCTGGTCTCCACGGAGGCCGGCAACTCTCAGAATGACTTGCCCAAAGTCATGGCACAAATCCTTGGCACGGGCGGGGTCAGCCTGGGGACCCAACCAGGCAGCCTGCTCCAGGGTCCCGACGAGCAGCGGTTGGTCAAGGAAGAAGCCCCTGCAGGGCTGCGTGGGGCACGTGGTGAGGGGCGGAGGGGCTCCAGGGAACTGGACGTGAGGGAGGCAGCGAATCCAGGGCCTGGCCTCCCCAGGGAAGCTTCCTTCCCCTTCCCTCTGGGAGAAGGAAGCAAGCGGCCACAGCCCAGACCCAGCACGGAGCCCCCCCACAAGCAGCAGCTGCAGCCTCTTGCCCCCGTGGCTCATGCTTCTGGGAAGGGCAGCTGCATACCTTGTGGGGTTTGGGCCCCACTCCTCTCAAAGCCGAGAGGAGGCCGGTCTGGGGGTGGGGCTTGGAGAGAAGTGAAGGGGAACCGTCCCCTTGCTCCGTTCAGCGCCCGCAGCCTACGCCTGGTCCGCAGCAGCCATCGAGACCAAGACACGGAAGTGTGCACACACTCGCACACGCACAGCAATCGCACACGTGCACACACCCTCCACTCAGACCTAGTGTTGAAGCACACGCGTGTGAGCTGGGTGAAGATCTGCACGGCAGGAGTGAGGCCGGGGCTTCTTCCGGGAGCTGGACCACCGGCTCTTTCCACCCCCAGCCCCTCAGTTAGATAATGACATCAGAAATAAGGTTAAAAATTGGGGGGAAAAATCAGACCGTTGGGAATTCTAAGGAGGATGTCACCACTGGGGGCTGCTGGTCCAGTGGCCGTGCTCCGTGGCCCACGCCGCCCTCTGGGTCCGGGCTCCGTGGCTACTGGGAGGAGGCCTTGGTGGCCAGGGAGGCCACGCAGTGCTGCTGGAAGCTGGGGGACACGGG